AGGATAGCTTCTTGCAAGCCTTTTTTCCTAGGTAGGAGCCAAAATGCTGGAAGCAGCTGTGTTTGGAGCTTACTTCAATGTCATGATCAACCTCAAAGACATAACGGACGAGAAGTTCAAGCTTGCGGTAAGCAGGGGCCATGCGTGTGCCCCGACCTTGGTGGTGGGGTTGAGGTGGGACAGAGATGGAGATGAAGCCCCTGGGACCCCTTATGCCCAGGTACCCCCTCCCCTTGCCACCAATGGGACGCGTGGGCTGGATGGTGGATGGCTTTTCTGTCCTGTCAAGTGGCAAATGATGTACCTTCTCCCTCAACATACAGATGTCACAGAAGGTCTCCGGGCTGCTGGAGGAGGCGAAGCAAGGCTCAGCGCTTGTGCTGGCACTGCTGGAGAAGCGGGCGCTCTGAGAGGGGATTGGGGATGGACTGGGGGCTCTGCAGCAGCAAATACAGTTGGGAAACATGCTTGCCCCTGCCTGGGATCCTTTGGTATCCACCTCGGGAGAGCTGCTCCACTCAGGCATATCCCCTGCTGGGCTTTCCCTGGCCAAGGGTGATATTTGCTGTCTGAGGCTCGGACCACGGTTTTCGTCACCTCATCCCTGGGACAGAAGGAGCCAGCTGGGCTGGCAGAGCCTGGGGCCACAGGGCTCCCAACAGAGGGGACAGCAAGGGACCGTGTGCTGCTGCCCAGGAGGAGATCACTGTCTGTGGGCGCCTTCTGACCCCACGCACCTCTGTGTGTGTCTGTGCCCAGAAACCCCCACAAGACACCCCCATGTCTGCAGGGCTGGGACAAGACCTGGCACAGTCCCTTTCTGCGAGGTGTCTTTTTGATGGTACATCACCAGCCTGTTGCATTGCTCCCTGGACCAGGAAGGGAGCGCTGCAGAGCAGCATCGGGGGTGTTAGTGGGGAGGTGGGGATGGGATGGGAAGAGCTCTGCCCCCTCCTCACAGACCCCCCTGAGAGGAAGACCTGAACACTGGGGCATGCAACCCTGCCTTCTGTCTCTGTTGACTGGGTCTGATGGCAGATATCACCTCCTCCACTCGCACACCATGGCAGCAGCCTGAGCAGTGTCACATTAGCTGGACCCTAAGCTCCATTGTCTCACAGCAGTGCCTGCAGGCAGTTGACACCCCCCACCCACCCTCCACCCCCC